TTTCTTATCGACGGATAGGTGTTTTATCCTGTCTTTCAGAACAGTCAGCTGCTTGTTTACGTAGGTCTCTATTTCCGGTTCTGCGTCTTGAGGAGCAGCGTGGGTAGGTGCTGATGTTGGTTTTGGGTGTTGTTTTTGTTGTTTTTACAGAAGATTCCTAACATTTTGATGCCCTCTTTATATCACAAAACTTGCTATTGTGCACATCACTCAAAACTGCGTTTTATTGTCATTCTGTTGAACGTATTATCCTGCGGCGTTAGTGGCGCGTTTTTTGTCAATATTTTGTTGACCGGAAATGGAGTGGATGGGGCAAGACGCCTACTCGATGCATGGGGCAGGACGCCCCCAGTTTTCTGAAAGGGGGGCGTTTTGCACGGTGGTGAGAGTGCAGGGTAGCGCCCTGTAGGTCGGGGCCGAAAAGGCCTCTTCTTGTCCTTTTTTGCTGATATATCCTAAACGACTGCAGATATCGTCACCAAACTTTCAGGACTCCTCCGGGCATCGATTTTGCACATTGCAGCAAAATTTTATTCCAAAGGCTATGATAGGTTGACCGCAAATGACGTCAGAATGACGTCAAGTTCTGCCATGTTCATCATTTTCTGTTGATGGATGGGGTGGGGGCGCTTTGCACATGGGTGTGGGCGTATTACCCAGGGTATGGGGCAAAACGCCCTTTTGTAAGGGTATGCGAAAACCTTTTTGGGGGGTTATATACCACACGCAGGTGTCTTTTCTTGGTCTCAAAGCGTAGTAAAAAGAATGAGCTACATGATGGTGCCCAAAGGTTTAAGTAATCTGTGTTGGGTTGAGTGTCAGAAGGTTTCGCGCTTAAGGGGGGCGTTTTTGACCTATTCACCCTAACTATCACATGGGTGGAGCTTTTCCAAGAAAGTTGATGGGGCAAAAGGTTGTGATATCTACAATATCCATTTGTTAAGTTAGATAAAATACAACAATAAATAAATTCCTATAATTACAGAGATATTATTTTGCATTACACAGTCACAGACATTTCAAAGCTCTTCAATGCAAAAACATTGGTTTGCTAAGCAGTAAAGTCCTGCAATCGGCTTAAGTTGGTGGGGCAAAACGCCTATTGGTGGGGCAAAACGCCTATTGGTGGGGCAAAATGGCAAGTTGGTGGGACAGCCGCCCCTCCAAGTGAATAGGAAGCTCCGCCTGTATAGGTAGGTAAATGCCCTCGTAACAATTATATGCTTACTCTCCATGTCAAGTTTTCGGATCAAGGGCATGCAAGGAAATGGTGATTTGCCCCTACCGCCCTACATTGACGGTAGGGGCAAACCCTACAAACCCTACGTTGTGTTTCTCGCGTGCAAAAATTTTCTTCTTGGTATAGTTAATCATGAACGACATGTGGTGGCTACCACCCTTTGTTGGTCGGCGGATCCCGACAATCCATTTCGTTTCCTCCAACTGCGTCGTGCCGGTCCATCGGATCGTCGATCAATTCTCTGAGGCGGAGCTGCGGACCTTGCCCCGGGTGACCGGCCGCCGAAGACAGAGAACAGGAGCTCGGAGAGGGGTACGGCCGGGCTGGAACATCAGGATACAGGTGCGGCCGGGAAGGCCCCAGCGGCCAACTATGGAGCGCTCCATAGTGTGGTCGAGCCGTTTTTGGAGCTCCTACGTCTTAGACTGGCGAGTGAAAGGCGAACTGAAGCGTCCTGCTCTGCATATCAGTGTCGGTCCGCCACTGACACGAGACCATTCAGCCAGTCTGCGGATCATTATTGACAAGTGAATGCATGCATCTAAAAGAGATCATAGGCCGTACTGGAGCTAGCCGATTCTAGCTAGCCGAGCTATGGCTGAATCATGAGCCAGGAACCCGGAACTGGTGGTGGCCAACTGGCAGCCACCAGGCGTGACCGACTGATGAGTAGCGCGGCGGCCCACCGACCATGCTCCGCGAGCGAGTCGGTGTGTGTGTGTGTGTGAGGGGTGGGGGTTGCACACTGCACAGTGCACACCAATGCTGCAATACATACAGAAGGGAGACGGAGTGACCTATTCCGTCACTGTTCGATGGGATGCTGAATGACCCGCGCCAACAATGTTCTGCCTTTGGATGGGGAGGGGGGGGGAGGTACGGCAAGCCGAAAGTGTCTAATTATTTCGACTAATATTACATTATCTGAATTAGCATATGGCGAAATGTTGCTTTGGCGACATATGGCGACGACACTACCAATAACCAAATATGTAAAGAGCGTTCATTGCTCTGCTGTCGGACGTTGATTGGATCCACACAGTAACGCTAAATACTCTACTGTAAGTGACTGAGCTTCAGAAGCATTGTGATTTTTGTGTTTAGTTCGTATAGTATGGTGTATGGAAATGTTTACAATGCAACGCTTCATCCTCCCCCCCCCCGACCCCCCACAATCTCGTTCACTGCCCAGTCTGCAAATGCCTTATATTCCTCTTGACCCCATTCACACTAACACTCATGAGAAAGGCACGGTGGGCGTTTTGCTGCTTTATTCAGTCGTCCAATATATATGCAACACCAGCGGGAGGCGCAGTAAACGACATTACCGATAAGCAAAGCTATGGTGAGACAAACGCGCGTGCACCCGCCACCGAAGCGTTGTCAGTCCGACGTAGGCTCGGCGACCCCCAATCGGCCTCCGCTGGTAAACGGGTACAGAACAGAGAGCCTGTATCGCGGCGTCGCGGGTCGACAAAACCAGAGACAACCTAGCCCAAAGACGCGCGAGGGACAGCGCTAAACGCAGCACAGAGATTGAGACCATAGACGGACCGGCGGCGAACAGAGAGCAGACGCGGCGGGACGGGAGGGAACAGCGGAGACGCGTCGAGCGGACCGAACACAAAACGCCCCGCCGCCCTCGGCTGGCGCCGGCACGACAGACATTAGCCGAAAACTACCTAATGCTACATCTAGTACATCCAGTGTTAGCCCGAAGGGATGTGGCGGCGGAGACCAGCCTGCCTGACGGGCCAGGGGCACCGGAGGGGCAGACCAGCGGGACGCCAGCTCCGGTGCACCCTGGCCGAAAATCTAATGTGGGAGCCCCTCTCGAGCGGTCCGGGATCGGGCGGCACAAGACCTATACAGAGCAGACACGGCGCCCCCATTCGGTGGCCCTCCTTATCCAAAATAGCGCGCTGCGCCGGTACAATGGAGGCGGCTGGCGCGGTCGCCGGCCGGGCGGCCGCGCCGTGGCCGGTGTGGGAGCGGTCGCCGATCCGGCGACCTCGTCTGACCTCGGCTGACCGGAGCGGCGCGGCGCCGGCCGCTCGGCGGCGTCCGACGGCGTCCGGCGCCGCGCCGGGCGGCGGCCGCGCCCCCACTCAGGTACACGCTCTGGCGCCGGCACGTTTGTACTCGCTTTAAAGTACCCGGGGCTGCGGCGCGGCGGCCGGCCGTCGGCAGGCCTGGCCGTTCGGCGCGCCCGCCGCTGCTTCTAGTGAGCACTGACACACATACACATACACACACACACACAGAAAGGGGACGGCGCCGGCGCGCCCGCCGCCCGCACAAGCGGCCACCTACCACACAACCTACCCGAAACACGAGCGCCACAAAAATACAACAGGTTTCCGCATCAATTTTCACTCGCTTTGCGTTCTTTTCAGAGTGTTTCTATGAAAAAGCATGCAGCCCAAAATAGTCTGGTGAAGCCGGCGGCTGCGGCGCCTGCGCCGGCCGCAGCGGGCTGTTCCGAACGTCGCGTCGGCGCCATGGTACGACGCAGTCGGCGGCGGGCCGCCTCGCCGGGACCGCCGCACCGCCGCCCAAAGTCAAGGTCGAATAGAGGTGAGCCGGCTGTTCGGCGGTAAACATTTGGCAGCGCTCCAGCGCGGCCGCGGCGGCGGCGGCGGCGGTCCCGTCGGCCCGCGCCGGCCACGACGCCGAGTCTCAACAGGCGATGTTGGGGGGGGGGGGGGGAGGGTAATGGCAGGTACTTCAGGTACGGTACGGATCATGGACACTGATCGCCCTTCGCAGGGCGGCACAGAGGCTATCGTAGATCAATATTTTTGTAGCGTTTTGTGCGTATTACAATGGCACTGGACGAAACTAACTTAACCTAATCACAGCGGTTTCGGCTATGGTTGACACTGGTTAACACAACGAGACACGCAATCACATTCGAACAGCAAGCTACACAATACACATATGCCTACGTCAGTCAGAACCAGACACTGACACACAACTCGGAACCACTCACACAAACACACACTAGAACCAAACACTACAAAAATCGACACACAAGCCACAGCGCAACGCAAAACGGCCCGGCCGCCAGGAGTTGGCCTCGGACACGGGCGGAGCGCCGGACACGGAGACACGAACGGGGACACACGCGGACACGGACACGGACGCGGACACGGCCGGCGGGAGCGCGCGGCACGGCCACGGAAGCACGCCGCCCGCTGGGTCGGCCGCGGGTAGGGGCAGGGGCCTGAGAGGGACTTGTGAGGAGGCCGACGGCGGGCGGCCCCGGCGCCGGCACGGGACCGGGCCGGGGCGCGCCGCCGTCTCGCCGCCAACACCTGAGTCGAAATTTTGAATTTGAATCAACTCCTGAGGCGATTTCTGTAAACCTGAGTACGACTGTGCATCCGAAGTTTTCGACCACCGGTGAGAATCCAGGGCACAGCCTAACTAGCGGGCCGGCGCTCGGAGGCCGGCCGTCTACGGCGCCCCGGTGAGCCGCGGCACGCGCGCGCGCGCCGTTACCTCGCGGTCGCGCTCCTCGCACGCCATTGGACCCAGACACCCGAACACGGCCCGACCGGCCAGGAAGACAGCCGCCGTCACGGCGCCGGCAGCGCGGCGGCACGAGCCGCTCAGACACGACCCCGTCAGACACACCCGCGCACCCCCTGACACAACCCCTTCAGTCACATGTACGGACCCCTCAGACATTACCCCCTCAGTCACACCCCAAGAACCATCAGCCAAACAGCTCCTCAAACACAAACCCTTAGCCAAACTCCCAGCTCCCAGTCACACTCCCCCAGTCACACACACGGTACCCTCGACCAAACCTTCCTCAGACAGGCGCACTTTGCGTGTCCTGGTCGGCCGAGCGGCCTGCGCCAGGCCACAGCCAAATGATGCCTCCCTTCCCATCAAGTCACCCCTCCAAAGGCGGAGCGCGGGCCGCCGACGGCATAAGGCATGAACACAGAAATACCTCACAAACCAGCTGAGAGAGAAAAGGCAGACGCGGTCTATTTGCGCGACAGAAAAGCTGGGATTAGTGCAAGGTGTTAGTGGTGAGGAGTCAGGGCTCTGTGAGGTATTTCTGTGACATCGAGCGGCCCGCGATCCGCCATCGTCACAGCCCTTCAATGCAGCGCTCGCGCAGCTCTCCAGAGCGGCGCTGCCACAGCCCTCCAATGCGGCGCAGGCACAGTTCAGCGTGGAAGCACAGCGCCGCCGCAAGTCAGCCACGCGCAGGTACGGAAGCAAGAAATGCACGTGTCCCAACTACACACTACGGGGAAGACGGTGATTTTTCGGGGGAAGGGGGATGAAGCGAGGCGGAGCGAGGTGTACCGAGCACTACAGCTGCGTCCCATCCCAGCGTACCGCAAGAGTGCACCGGAACATACCTAGGGTAACTGAGAACAAATCCGGGTTTCGCCGGCACCAACTATCGCACGAAAACGGATCTGCACCGGTAACTGACATCGAGATTTGAAGTCAGGCCAGAGAACGACACGAAGGAGATCATTTCCAAACGGAGAACTAAGCAAACCTGAGGAATTAATGAAACCACTGGCGTCTTTCGGGCGGCCCGACTTCAGATCTGGATGGTATGCGGCTGGCCAGCGGAGCACCGAACGCGGAAAATGAGGATCAGGCCAGCAGGGACGTCATTGCGGGCCACGAGACGAGAAGCCCCAACGGGCGTGGAAATGCACCATTGGATTATATCTTACGACGAACGGTGTCAGCGGTTAGCGATGACAACGGCCGGCGCCCCACAGGGCTAACCGCCGACTGTCACAGCCCAGCACATTCACACGCACACACACACCGCGAGCGCAAAGCGAAACACCACACTACAGCCTTACAGCAGATTATAGCCGTTCGAATTGGACAGGCGCATTTCGGAGACAAGCCGCCACAACCACAACCCCACCAGACAAGAGACATTGTGTCCCCACCGGGCGCCACTTCTTAACACTAATCACAGCCGGCACCGGCCGCTCGAGACGGCACATTAGACAGGACAGGACATTCACTAAGGACACTCACACGGCTGAGGTCAGGAAACAAACACGGCTGACGGGTGACATCACCTGAACGCAGGCCGATACAAACGGAAACTGACCGGCGTCGGCGCAGCGGCGGCGGCTGGGCGGGGGCAGGGCAGCCGGAGACCGCCGAGCCGCACACGCCACCGCCGCCGCAGCGCCGAGACCCTACCCTGCCCTCCCTCAGAACACCCCTCACAACCCCCCACCGCGAGCCAGCCGGGGTCAGGCCACCGGCGGCCGCGCCTACTACACCCTACCGCTCACAGCCCGACTTGGGGCGGCCACAAGGCTCACCCTCGCCCTCTCCTCTCCTCGCTACACGTATGTATGGCTAGTGACCAGCCGCGCGCCGGTCGCCGCACGTCGAGCGCGCTCCGCTCGAGAGCGGTCAGCGCGCGCCAACCGGCCTGCTTTCCTCGCTTACACACGACCACATACACGGCACACAGAGACCTCACGTTCACCGACCGTGGCGACAGCACGGCCATACTCAGCTACAGCACGCCAGGGCCAGCCCACGGCCGGAGCGCCCCATTTGGTAACAGTCCGTCTCGGGGACGAGGCTCCCGCCGGGTGCGGGCGGCAGCGACAGGCCTGAACGGTGTCGGCCGCGCCCGACGGGCAGCACGGTGGGTGCAGGCCGCCCCCAGTGTCAGCGCGTGGGTGCAGGCCGCCCCCAATGATAGCGAAGTGGTTGCAGGCCGGCGCGGCGGGTGCCGGTCCAACCCTCTCGGCTCACCCGGCGGCGGGAGAGCCGGGAGCCGAGCAGCCCGAGGGAGTTCGACCGGCCCACGCGGCCGCCGACCATGAGCGGCCCGAATCGATAGCCTTGGCGGCGTTGCCATGACGACCCACGGTCAGCGCTGCACTGGAGACTCTCGAGGCCAGAAATGGACGCAGCGACCCCGGATGTTCAACCGGGACGGCCGCACACACAAATAGACGAGAATCCCTCTGAAGCAAACTGAAACAAGCGCTCTTCAACCAAACCGAAACAAGCACTCTCGAACAAACATCATATAGTTACACTGGCCCTAAAGTTTCGAAGCTTGGTGAAGTGTTTGACTGATTTGTCTTTTTCTGCTCACTCAAAAGCGACCACTGTACACGTTCCGAAATGAGAAAAAGAACAGACCACTTGGTAACCCTTACTGTCCTGATTTCAATCGAGATGGCTTGGATTATGAGTAGGGTGGCCTTTTCCCCAGAATGAGAAGTAGCTTTTTATGGGCCTTAATCAATCGATCTTGCCGGGAGGAGATATCACGTGTCGGTTTCCATACGATGTCTTGATTTTCAAAGAGAACGTTCCTCATTGGAAGTCAAGGCAGCCCATGGAGCTGGTGCGACTGGAATTGACAAATCTCGAGTATCGAGTTCGCCGCCATCGTCACGGCCTCGGCCCGGGTCACGTGACAGCGCCCGTGGAACGCTGGCCGGACGGGCTGGCGGTCACGTGGTGCGGCCGGGACGCGCCCGGCCGACTAGACTAGCACTATTGTTACCGGCGCCGGCCGGCGGGCTCCGCTCACCACTTGTACTGCTTCAGGATGTTGTACTCACTCTCCGTCCCCGTCAGCGGGACCTGCTCCCCCCACGGCGCCGGACGCGCTCTCTCGCTTACACATTAGCCGCCACGACAGCGCGGGCCGCCGGCCGGCGCTCTCAGCTGGACTTATGTACAGGCGCGCGCGCCGGCCCCGTATCAGCGGCCGCCGGCGGCGCTATCTCAGAATCGGGGACACCAAACACTTGCAGCATGACAGCGTGTTGTACTAGGGCACCCGGCAGGTGACTTCCCGGAGTGGACGGGCTGCCGGGGCCGGTCACAGGACACTCCTGATCAGAGGCACATCAGTCGAGAGTACGGCAATTTCGGGCGACTGGACGACACGTCGGGCCGGCTGCCGGCGGTAGGCGCGGCAGGCGGCCCGACTCCGAACGGTCACCTCGGAGGCACGCGGCATCAGTCCGACCGGCCGGCGCGGCGGCGTCCGCGCGGACTCCGCCCGGGCGCCGCCGGCCGGCGAGGTCGAAGGCGATCTCAGGACGCACCACAGACGCTCTTCTGACACTCTCCACGACAACGTCCCGAAGGCCGGAAAGAAGGTACCGCCAGACGGGGAGACTAGGCCACCACTCCACAGCGAGCGGCCAGATTAGAATTTCTGACTAAAATCTGTTCCCTGTTTGTGAACTAGAGTAACTCATACATACACGGCTTCTTGCTTGATGAGAAGAAGTGCTGGATTTTTTGTGTCGTCATGTTATGGGTTTATTTTTTTATTCTTAACTGCCGAGGCGATTCGCACTGCGGCAGAGGTTTTCAACATTCCCTGTTATCGTGTCATTTGTTATACAAAAATACGGACGCATGCACAGCTTTCCATTCATTAATTTGCCTGGATTATTATTTCTCTTTTTTTTTTTGTTATTTTTTACCGATCTAATATCGTGATCGGGGACGGGGGCGGCGGCGTGGAAGATCGGCGTGCACAAGACCACGCCTGCTGTTCTATTTACACCCACACACCCGCTCCCATATCGCACGCACACAGCAAGGGTAGAAAGACGTTTCGCCAGGCCGCCGCGCCCATCCCCGGTCGTCGATGGCGTCTCCGCGCACTACCTTACCGGCTACTCACAGCCGCCACCGGGCGGGCCGGCCGGCTCTGTGGGCGGGGGCGGCCGGAGGCGCCGCCCGCCCGCCCCCGCCCTCCGCCGGCCCGCCGTCAGGTACGTCAGGACACAGCAACACGTAGTGCGCGGCCCGCCGCACCCTTACACCTATCAGGTACGGTTACGTCACACTCACACTGTGGAACGCTATGGTGAACGGGACAAGGCACACAACGTCGATTCAGCACAGGGCACATTGTCACTGGAGGCTGCATAGGCGCGCGGCGAGGCACAGCGCTTGATACATATCAGCACGGACGAAATACACTACGCAAAACACAGGCGATTGACGGCAAACACACAATACACGAATATGGACATGTTATGCATTACACCACGACGAAATTACACTACATACAGCCACGTGATTATAAGCAACACAACACCCATCGGGACACTGAACACAGAGATGACGAACAGAGCAGTACGAGCTAAACTGTCACAGCGAGGCGGACAGGCGGCACACACCAGGCGAGGTCCACCCACTCTGTACCAAACACAGATACACAGACAAGCGGGAACCAGCCACGCGCACTCACACAAGACACAAGGTGGAGCACTCAGTCAGACAGTGTTCTCATGCGGGAATGGCCCGACTGGCGATGCGCAGCCTGCCGCTCAGACACAGCTGATACGTCGAGTTCGGCGGGGCGGGGGTGGCATGGGACGGTGGGAGTTTGGTCAGGTGCGGCGGTCGGTGCAGTTCGCCAGCGACAGGTGACGGTAGGTGACAGTCGCTGACAGGCCTGTCGGCGGTCTGTCAGGTCGGACGGTGGACAGGGGCCTCTGGGGACCAGATGCTGTCGGACGGGTCGAGATCTGATGGCCGGGACTGGACTGGACTGGAGTGGAGTCTGTCCCGTCTGCTGGGCCCGCGCCCGGCGCCGCGGCCGGTGGGTCCTCAGTGGCGCGGCCGGGCGCGGGCGGCGGCACCGGACGGCGGGCCGGCCGCCGGCTCTGGTCGGCGGCCGGCGTCACAGCCGGTCAGCGCACGCCGTCCTCTCCTCACACGGTATTTGTACTGGGTGCCGGCCCGGTGCCGACGCCAGCAGACAGGACAGGGGACAGGAGACAGGCGAAAAGAAAAAAGCGCAGAGACGAGGGCTAGGGCTAGAGAACAGGGTACAAGGTGACGCTCGACAAGGGACGAGAGCAGGCGACAGGGACATGGGAAAGGGCGGAACAAAGGATAAGAGCTAGAGAAACTGAGACACGGCGGAGACGGGATAAACAAGAAGGGTGGTGGGGTTACCGGCCAGGTGGACGGCGCAGTGCACAAGCCTTCGCGGCGGTCAGCCGGTGGGGTCAGAGGCGGGGTCGCTGGTGGGGTGGGCGCCTGTTGAGACTCGGCGGCAGTGGCCGGACTGCGGTGGGCGGTTAGCACAGCCCCTCGGCGGCCGCCGGCTCTGTCAGACAGCCAGTATGGCCCGCCGAGGGACCGGCGTCCGACAGCGTCCGACGCGCCACTCAGCCTACAATGTAGTCGGTAGAAAAGTACCCCTCCCTCCCCGCTCCCCCGGTAAGCCACACACACACACACACACGAACAAGCGCCCTATGTACAAAAATACTGGCCCTGGGCACGGTCAGCTCTGAGCGCCCTCACTTTCAGCTGGCTCACCCAACGCAAACGGCAAACGCAAACATAACGCGAGACTAGGCAAACACAGGCTAAACCAAAATCATCTAGTGAGTCCCGAGCGGGTGGCCGGCTGGAGAGGGATCAGACAGACCCGCGCCGCCGGGCCGGTCCGCGCCGGCGCCCGCGACGCTGCTACACTAGGTATCAAAACATAGAAAACCGCCGGTCAGGTCAGGTCAGGTGGTGTCTGTGGCGGGCGGCGCGCCGGGCGGCGGGCGGCGCCTGCTCGGTCGGCGGGCGGCGCCTGCTCGGTCGGCCGCCGGCCGCCGCGGGCCGCCCCACCGGTCCAGTGAGCCACCTGGCCGGGACTCGAGTCCCCGTCCCCACCCATTGCCGCCTAGTGGTAGGGCCAACATTACGCTGTCGGCGGCACGCGCTGGTAGAAGGAGAGCGCCTTGACGAAGTGGTTCTCCAGGGCCGTGCAGAACGGACAGCTGACCATGTGGCTGTAGTCGGAGTAGAAGTTGAGCCGCTGGTCAGGCGCGATCACCGGGCTGTCGCACTCGTTACACTGAAACACACAGAAGGCAGAGGACCTCTTTAGCGGATTCAAACAAACACAATGGAGGCACTGTTACAGCCAGACAACAGCTGGGATACTGGTACAGCAAAACAACAGTTACACTGTTCAATAAAACATGCTGAAAGGAGATTCGATCGGTTTGTCGTGCTCAAAACACAGGTGAGACACCGGAGTTGTCAGGAGACTGCACCTGAAGGCCCAATGATGCCAGCCTCCATTGGGCACATGGACAGAACCGCAGATCACCTTGTCTGAGCGCGTTTAGCACACAGGCCCACTCAGAGAGCATTATCATTACCCCACCCCCCGTAGCGCACACATCTCGTGTTTACTCTCCGTATGAGAGCGCAGCACTTCGACAGGCGTGCCAGCTTATTGCCAAACCGGCCGATAAGGGATCTCCTCCACTTCTCTATCGGACACTTGGCCAAACGTGGAGAGACTAAGCCTTAGGACATCGACCCAGGACCAAAAACAGAAGAAAAAACACTCGAAACAGCGCTGCGCAGTAGTCACCTGAACAGGGGGTGTCGGCGCACGGATTAGCTGCAGTGGTGCCACGATCAGGGGGGGGGGGGGAGTACTGGTGGCAGGTGTGTAGATCACTATCACGAACACTCGGCTCGGCCGAGACGACGCAATTCAGTGAACATAGGTATAGGACCGCGGACCAAAATAAAGAGCGATAAAAAAGAAAGTGGTGCAAAGATCAGTAGTTTCGTAATTCAGGAGGGTTTACGGACTGATATTTGTTTTGTTTTACATTGGTTTGTACAGAAGAAAGGGAGCTAAGATTTAGTGTGAGTGTATGAGGGGGTTGTCAGTTAAACGCAAAAGCCATGTGGCAGTTATCATCCGACTCTCATTGCCTGTTGAGCTCTCTGTAGGATTGTCGAGCTCTGGAGCTCTCGGTCTGAGCCCGATCCCAGTCCGTCGGCCTCGATCGCTCGGCGGGCCGCTGCGCCTGCCTCCCTCGGCCATCGGCCGCACGCGGCGCCGGCCGGCCGGCCGGCCGGCCCGGTGGCCTTGGGCGTTCGGTGCGCCCGCTCGGCCGGCCGGCGCTGCTAAAAAGCGACGGTGACCCACTAACGGGTCGTTGGCCTGCGCCCGCGCGCCATGCACGTCACGGCATGACGCAACCGGCGCCGGCAGCTGCGGTCGATGCCGGTCGCTCGGCCGACCCCGCCGGCGGCCTGGCAGACGTGCCTCTCGGCCCCGTCACGGCCCCGCCACTGACCGCGGGGAGGTATTGGTGACACTGACCGGCCACTGGGACGGGCCAGCCACGGGTCAGACACAGAGATCGCCCCAGGGTGATCGTATTGAAGCGAGGAACCGCTGCCAGGAACGCTGCCCCGCTCTATGCATATGAAAAGACGGCTTACTGCAGTCGTCTGAGCTGCTGGGGACTTTTCCACGGTGTCACACACCGACAAAGGCTGTGACTGACAGGGGGCTGAAGCGGCACTGATCGGTCGCCAAGGAGCTCAGGTCGGGCCCAGACTCTCCGCCCGCGGCCCGGGAGCAGAGGCGCACAGACCGACACAAAGAGGACCATCGGCGGCGGTCGGCGGTCACAGAGAGCCCCGGCGCGCCGCCCGCGCCATCCAATCTACTGCTAATGCGACTGTAACGCGCCGGAACGCCGGTACTCGGCAGTCGGCGTGCCGGGAGGGCCGGCGAGGCAGCCACGCCGGGCAGTTACGCCGGGCACCGACCTCTCCATCCAGGTCAGACGTGCCGCCCCCGCCCCCGCCCGCAGCCGCCCGCCGGCCATGACCGTGACAAAGTGGCAGCCGACTGGCAGCGGCGAGGCGGCCGACCGCCAGACCCAACAGCGCCGTGCCATTGTCAGCAGAACGGCAAAACAAAAAGCTCGAAGACATGCCATCGTAGAGACGAGATAAAGAAAAAGAACAAAACCGAAAGCCAAGGATGAGAGCGTCACTGACCGCAGCCGTAGGGCGACGACACCTCACACGGCCTCGAGCGTTAGAAAGGGCAGCAGATGAGGGCCCGTCCCTAGATGGGCGCCGCTCGGGGCAGGGGAAAGTGACCCCCGGCCGGCGCGGCTGGCGTCACTGATGGTTTGTCGGCCCCCGGCGACACGTGGCGGCCTCACGGGGCGGCGAGAGACCGTTTCACAACGCCAGAGCGGCGGCAGCGTGCAGCGGCACAGGCCCACCGACCCAGCCGCAGTGAAAAATGACCACAAAATGGGAATAATTTTGCACAGTCATTTCCTGTTTTAGAACGCGATTTTCCAGGGCAATGGTGTCAATTATGTTGGGTCATTACCCTGATTAAGGGTGGCATGTAACGCATTACCAAACGATTCATCAGTTTCGCTCTGATGAACAAAAATATTTGGGAATTTTACTTCATAACATTATTAACTTCATAACATCATTACGGGAAATACAAGTAAAAAAGGGCTTCGTTAATTCACAAAAATCCTCTCGGTGAGGGCGACATTTACGACCGATCGCATCTCACAAACTGCAACCACGTGTGAATTTGACCGACGTGCAAACACCACAAGCACACCCGAAACAGTTGCACGGTTCAGCCCACACTAGTCCCGCCGTTAATCATAGTTCTGACATTTAATGCCGCGTCAAAACTGAACACCCGTCACCGAGGTCGCAAACCCGACCGTCACAGCAACACCCGTCAGCCCGTCATTTCAAACAGTAGCGGACCAAAGACCCACCCCCTAGTAACCCTACCCGGTTTAGCGACTGATCTCTACATGAAAAGCCTCTTGTACAAAAATACTTGCCTAAATAGTTAGCGACTTACGAATTTTCTCTCAAGTCGGACACGGCGCAGTCAAAAAACTCAATTTATCTAGAAATTCTACCGAGGATGTGTAGGATTGCATTAGGAAATTGGCACATTAGATAATTTGCCGCCGTAGGAAAGTTTACTAAGAATATAATTTGCCCATTCTTCCTGGCTAGGTATTTCAGTGCCAGAAGCTCTGTTCTCTACGGCCTGCTTACCTTCAGCCTCTCGGAGCAGCACGGCGTGGCGGCGAAGATGTCGAACGTGTACATGGTACCCAGGATGAGGTGGGATCCGTCCCAGGGCTGGTGGCAGCGGCGGCAGCGCAGCCGCACCGTCCAGCCCTCCAGACAGCCCATGCACACGGCCGACAGGTACTGCACACGGTTGTCGTACCGCACCTGAGACAGGTCACAGGTCAAAGGTCAGATGGGGAGGTCGGTGAGGCGACTAGGGGGCGGGAGGGCACTTGGGGGAGGCAACTCTGGGGCGGTGCACAAAACTGCGACAGGCAGATATACCGCGTGCTGTGTGGACTGTGGAGTGTGGACATGACTGCAAACACCCACATAGACACGACATTGTGTGGTGGCGGTAATGTATAGTATTGTGTAAAACGTGACCGACTTTGTGATGTCAGTACGGCAATGTGTTGAACATGTCCGGCTTGTCAGAGTACAGCGCCGTGGGTTGCATGACCTTGACGAAAATAAATCCGGCTTCTGAGAACGACCATGGGCTTAGCGATCGACCGTGTGAGGCGGCCGCCGGGCCGTGGCCCACTGACAAAGCCAGCCCACTCCGGGGACGGAGCCGTCAGTCCCGGTTTGGTCCGGCGCACAGCTCGGCACTTCCAGGAACTGAGCCCCACAGCTCGGCACTTCCAGGAACCGAGCCGCCATCATCGAGCGGCCAGGGCGCTGCAGCGGGCTCCAGCCGAACGCGGAAGGCTTACGATCAACGTCATTACCGTCATTGAGCACTCCAGATCAGAGATCTACAGCCTGCTTCTACCGCGTGACTGTTGAACAGGGCTGGGGAAGCACCACAGCGGCGCATGAATCCACAGGTTTTATAGCTTTCTAATTAAAGCTGAAAGGTATTGGATAGACAAACTGAAGTCAGATCCCGCGCTAAGCAGAACTTGTTGCAAAAGCCCCGAGCTCATCCATCCGATGTTATGGGTTGTTGGGACATACAAGCCAAAGTTCACACATAGCCGGACACCGTCATCCCAATAACTGAAATCTCGCTGACTGGGCTGTACCAGTCAGTGATCTCTGTAGTCGAACGCTATAAGATGTCTCGGGCTCGAGCTCTTGTCACCGGGATGTTCTACCAACTGATCTATAGAGTTGACAGTTCCACCCGTGGGCGGCACCCACCGAGTGCCCGGCATTCGCATCTGTCCCAGTCCGGCTGCCAAAACAAACCGGCTGCCCGCTCGGCCCGCTCTCAGCGCGCTGCAGATGTGGAGCAGCCAGCGCTCAGCCGGCCCCTCCCCGTCCGTCCAGCCGGCTCTGGAACCCGCTCCCTCCCTCTCGGCTCAGCGGCAGCTGCTGCCCACTAACCGGTCTGTTCAAGGTCAGCCGCAGCTCGCGGCGCCGGCCGCCACGCCAGGCCCGCCGGCCGCCCCCACCGCACTGCGTAGTAGAACTAGAACATTGTGGCGACGTGTGGCGAGGCAGTAACGCGAGGCCCCCCTCTGCAAGAGACGTCTGGCGTTCAGGAAATGCGAACTGAGCAACGAGCTAACCGCATGACGAAACGGAGCAGCGGCAGTTCCTGCCCCTGCAGGGGACATGTTTGGAACTACATAGGTACGACCGATACGTGCCGACTGCTGAGCAAGTCAACAGCAGCAGTTCTGATAGCACACCTGCACAAGATAGAACTGGTCAATAGGAGGCCTCCAACCGACGGTCGGAGGCTGGGCGATATCGACTGCGCTTCGAAAACAGCCCGGGAAATCAAATACGCCACCGAGGGCGTCTGTTTATAAACAAGTGGTCACGACTGTCGGATTTTGCTTGCGAAGCGCGCCTGACCGGCTCGACCTAATTCAGTTTACACGGCAGTGCAATGGCTGGTATCGCTCTAGCGATATCGAACAACGCAATTCAGCAGTCGGCCCACAGTCTGCTGAGCCAGAGCGACCGATCTGCTCTGATGCTGACCCTCGGCGACCGGCCGTGGCCGTCCGCCGCCGACCGGCCGCCTGGGGCCCCAGGGGCGGCACCCCAGCCTCGGGCCAGCCAAGAGCGCAGATGGCTCAGCCCGCCCCCTCCGTCACCAGCCCCATCCCACTCCATGGCCAAACACGGCTAGTGCCCACTATTTATAGACACGCTGAGTGTTTTAGTGTTCGTTGCACAGGCTCCGTGTCGCAGCGGTTGCTAGGGTGCCCCACAGAGCTCGGAGTGGGGGGCTCAGCAGCGCTGGCGCCAACCAAGCGCCGGGCCGTGGGCTGACCGGCTCAGCCTTGACGTTGGCCCTGAAGCCGTCAGCCTGGGGCACTACCAGCCGCAGCGCGTATCATTATGGGTGTGCGGGCCCATCAATCCTATCATTATGCACCGTGTGCGCGCACGAAGAATAGTGCCATGGAGCGACGTGCACGAGTGTGCACACTGCACATCCACTCGCTATCGCAGCGTGCACGGACCTTCCTGTGCACGGCGCGCCGATGTGCACGGCCTCTGTGCAACTGTGCACAGCGCGGACGAGCAGCAACGGACGAAGCGCGGCGGGAACACTGCAGGATGGCTGCCAAGGCCGCCGCAACGGCCGGAGCCGCCGACAACGCGGGCACTGGGCGCTGGGCAGTCAAAACACACGTGTTGTGGACCGACTGCCCCTTGCCCGGCGCCGCTACACGTGACGTGGCCGCCCGGCGGACCGGCAGCTCACGTGCCGTGGCTACCGACGCACGTGACTGTCAAGTCGAGCTCCAAAGGTCGGATAAACGAGTTCTGACAGGAGCCAAGTGACACATGTCCTTAGCAAAAGTGGATCGCGGATCAAAACACTGACCAAAACACTCGAGTGGATTGATTGTATCCTATTATATGTCGGCAGATGCATACGATCGTGTGATGAGCGTTTATGCGTTCTGTGTGTGAATGTGCTCGTGTATCCTGCTAGCTGTAGATGAGGGTGGTTTGGTGAGGATTGTTTGATTGTATATTAACTAAAGGTGTTGTATTTTTTTTTTCTGCGGGGCGAAATAATACCTCATGCTTTATAACGAAATTGCGTTCACATCCCAATTTCGTTCGTCATTACGTCACAGTCAACGCCCGACATATGACCCGTCAAATTACACGTCCCGTTTTTTGCCTCGTGCCCATACCTTTTCTAAACTAGAGTAGCCATCGAAAAAAAAAACAGCAGTTAAAATCCCGAACAATGGAAATTCACCACTAAACGAGAACCGAGAACCACTTTCACTATTGGAACTGCAGGACCCATGACGGGGAAGGGTGGTGCGGGGTCTCATGGACTCCGAGGACGGATCCCCGGATGGCGGAGCGGGGCGGGGCGAGGCGGAGCCTACCTGGACGGAGGCGCGCGAGTGCTGGCGCGGCCCGATGAAGAACGTGCCGTCGATGATGGGGTAGCGGTCGTACACTGTCAGCGCGTCGCCACAGACCACGCAGAAGGTGCGGCACATGCGCGCCGACGCCAGTGACGACAGCAGGAAACAGCGCGTGTCGTCGTTCCCCTGCGAGCCCTCGTCCTCCATCTGAGAAAAAGACAGGTTACAATAGGTCAAAACGGGTCACAACGGGTCACAGCGGGCCACAGCGGGTCAAGTGAGATCACAGCCGGCCACAGCAGATCAGATCACAAAGAACAGCGGGTCCGAGGTCCAGTCGATAGAGATTCACGACAGGCCGGCTAGGACATAACAGAGAAGCGGGCCTCTCAAAAGTGGACACTGGACAGCTCAGATCGGGTTAGAGCGAGGCGAACCAGACGCTGGCCTCTTCGATAAGAAGTGTCATCATATTTGAATAGCAAATGCATAAAGGAATCCCTGAATCTTCTCATACTGTCTCAATAGCATTCCTCAACTGACAAAGAGTTCCCGCTCGATCCGACATGATCCGATAATGGCATAGGTTCCGCGTTGGTTCTCCAAATGTGGCGGCGCGGCGCACCTGCGCGGCCGGTCAATGCGCAGATCCGGCAGCAGGATTGATTGCACTGCCAGTTCCGACACGGTCATGCGCGCCACACGATACGGCTGATGCAAGAGGCCGGCGAGGGGAGGATGGACGTCGGTTTGGATGACCAGCTCGGCAGCCAGCCGTCCGGGCGGGAGGACCGTGGTTTACAAACAGTGACACGGCATGCGGCACTGCACGGCCAATAGATGGCTGTATCGGGCGCCCGTCGACTCGGTAACAACACGGAAGGGGCGCGCCGCGCACTGAGGCAGACAGAGAAGAAAGAGAAGACAGAGTGCTGGAAACCAGTGACAAAGAAGAAGCAGCCCTCTTCCCTGATCGCCACGCGCTGTTTTAATTGCCGGCGCTGAACGAAGCCATTACGTTTAAGCACCCGGGCGCCGTCTGGGAGCCCGGTGGAGCCGCTCCATTTGTCTCGGGGGAGTCGGCTGCCGGCGGCGGAGCGCCGCCGCCCAGTCGGCGCGGCGCCCCCGCCACAACAAAGCAATGACGTCAGCCGCGGGGCGGAGGGGGCGGGGCCGGCGCGGCGGTGGGGGCGGGTGGCCGCCGGGTCGGGCCGGGTCGTGGGCAGCCGCTCCGGGCCGCCCCACCGTCTGCAGCCCAGTCAGCACGGCCGGCCGACCGCCGCCGCTGCACGGCCGGCATGCAACAAGTCAACTGCGCCGCGGGCCGACCTTCAGCTGACCTCTGGCGCCGCGCGGGGGCGCTTTAAAGCGGCGCTATCGCCGCGTTTAAACACACGGCTGGCCCGGACCAATAGACAGCCCGGCAGAAACGGCACTGAAGTCGGAGCCGAGCCAACGCCAAATCGAGCGCGCACTCCAGCACCGTCCAAGACTATAATTTATATATAGGAGTCTGTGTGAGGTGTTTACTACAGCATGCTATTTATCCAAGCTAGTCGTGGCTGGCAGATGCGATATCGAGCAGGTCCCAGAAGCGACGTGCGTGTTTTGGTTGGAGGCTCTCGCTAGCTAAACACTCGGTGTTACAATAATACGATGTTGCTAAGGCGCCCGAGACCCGCTCTCACTAACAACCTTGGTCCCTCGCCAGGCTATTGGGCAATGTCAACAACGCAAAAAAGGTCATCCAGGAATCGATGGAGGACGACCCCTACATCCGGACGGCTACCGTCCGACGCCTGCGTCCGGCCGGACACAGATTGGCTAGGCCCGGACGGCCCAGACGGCCGGACGTCAGACAAAGGTCCTGGCTGGGCTGGCCCGGACGGACACCCGGTGCAGCCCGCCAGCGGGCCCCCCAGCCATGCAGCCGTGTTTGTGTTGATGTCATCTTCCACGAACTAAGTTCTCAAGAACCAGGTCGAGTGTGTTTATTATTGGTTATTTGAAGCTATGTCGGGGACATTGCCAAACAACTTCTCATATTTCAATTTTTAGAATGCGTTATATGCATCTAATGTTTAATATCGACACAGCCAAAATAACGGTTATATTTTGCTACCAAATTTTCAAGCATGGAAGAACGAAAAAAAACTCCTCTTCCCCATCCCAAAACTGCCGCTCTTGTGCCACGGTAAGTGCACATCGCTTCCACAAGTAGGCCGATATCCGTCGCTCCTTCGCTGCGTCGCACCCTCTTCCCTTCTAGAACCCCGCCGTCGTGTTCGGCACCGGACACATTTCACTGTGGCGGGCTCCGGTCTCGAGGGGCGGCCCGAAAATGGGGCACATTTCCTGCGGCCGCCGTCGGCGCACAAAGGCACATAAAGCGCGCCGTGGCGGCACAAAGAGCTTCCCCGCGTCGGTCGTCGGGCCCGACTGCGTGCGTGCGTCGTACGCCGGTCGGGGAGACGCCGGAGGTCGGGACGGGACCGCCGACACGCCAGCCAGGGGACGGAGCGGCACGCGGCGCCGGGCAGACGATAGGAGGTCGAGTGGGCTAGCCACGGATCACAATCATCTCACGGGTGACCTCGGCTGAGGTCAGCCCTTTACCTCGCCACCCTGCGTGTCCCTGTTCCTCGCGGCGTGACGCCACTCTTCCGGAAGCGGCCGTCATCGATCGCCGTCGACATTGACGGTGGCGTCGGAGGGCGCGCGCGGCGGCCGGCGCGAGTCACTGCCAAGGCGGCCGGCCCAGCGGCCTCGCTTCCGGGACACGCCAGACAAGGGGGCGGCGCCGAAACCGAGTGGCTGGCGGGCGGGAGACAACGCAGGACCCGGAAAGGGGTCGGGTCAAATTTGATTTTATGGATTACTACATATCGCGAAACCTTCTAGATTAACTTTCGCCAGAGTAAATAATTTTCTTCATAACCCCTTGCCGGAAATGTTGCTCGGAACAGAGAACCCCTAGATGCCTTGCCCCTAAATTTCATTGCGACGAGTTTCGAGGAAAACGAGCGATTCGCGATTGATACAGTCAACTGGGGATCTCAATGGTCAGTTAAACAACACCTATTTCCAGTGTTGAAAAAAAAAATGTTCTTTGCCTTATTTATTGTCGGCAAATTGTCGTAGAACAACCACCTAAACAACCATTAGTACGTCGTATCAAGCCATGTCGTAACATAACATTTGTTCGGAAAAGAAAGCGATTAATCCAACCCAAAAACCTACCTAATATCGGGTGAGGATTTCGAACGAGCAAGGAAGTACATTCCCTGCATAAAACAAACGAAGGCCAAGACCTTACCAGTTCCTGCAAACAAGCTGAACGGCAGCTGGGACACAAAATAAAACAACGAAATGATCGATTAAAACGATTTGTCTCGTGTTCCTCATGCAGTTTGTTTATGATTCATAGGGGTCAACCCAGCGCAGTATCTAATGCACAACATGAAAAGGCAGAGGCACAACATGTATTGGTTTTACTAGACAGTTGATAATCCCGAAAATTATACGAATATTTTTTCACATGCTTCAACGCTAAAATAGTTGTTAGGCTTCCAAAGGGGGTTGTTAGCTTCCAAAGGGGAGGGGCCACGAGACCGGCGACGCAGCTCGTAATTCACACCTGACTATTGTGTAGGGGAGAGTGGGGCACATTCGTGCATATGGCACATTCGTTTTCAGCAGTTTATGGGAACACGAGTGACTGCACGAGCTCAAGGTAAATTATGGAAATATGTCTATCATTGCCGCCCTTCGTTCACCGTAGAAGACAACACTGTACCTGCTGTCATGCTTGATAAAAACGCAAATTTGTAATATTCGTGAGCTTTCCAAACTTTTCTCATATCATCCATTTTCGTGATCCTGACTCGGAAATGTGGTTCAGCTTTTCAAAATTGGGGGTGAAGAAGCCCACTCTATTCACGGAACTGCTGCAAACTTGTTTGTTGAAAAAGTGTCATTTTTTCAAAAAGAAATTTTGAAATATATTACTAATAACGTTGTGGGGCAGGTTCGTGTACGCACTGCCTGGGGGCACATTCGTGCATATCTTTTTTAGTTTTTGCGATTTATGACTTTATCTGTAGTAGGTTTCTCTAATGTCGCTCGCCTGACTCAGTCTCGACTGCTTGCGACGTCGTGACGAGCAATTCACGCGAACTTGGCGAGGTCACGGAGGCCGGCAGTTGGCACATTCTTGTTGGCCAGCCCATTCTTTCTACATTTGTTGTGCAATGCATTCTTGTCGAAAGGAATCAAGTGAAATGACCCCCTGCCAATTTCCTTTGGTAAATTTCTGGTAATGCCCGGTAATTTCTCGAATTTTGCCGGGTGAACGGAAGTGCCCCATCTCTTGAACGAATGTGCCCCATAGGTGGGGCAGTTTCGTGCAAATGTTCAAAGTTAATAAAAGTCATTTTTTCTAATGGAAGCAATAATTTTATAGGATAACTTTTAAAGAGGAAAACTATCTGCAATGGTTCCTTTCCATACTACAATCAACAATTTTGCCATTGCACTAACCAAAGAACAGATATATGGGTTTATCCATTTTTTGCACGAATGTGCCCCACTCTCCCCTACGCCCCGCGTATGTTTATCGAGCGACGGCGCCCCTCCCCCGCCCCTCCCACCGGGGGCAGACCACGCTCGCCGCCACGCCGCCTATCGATTCGGCGGCCGCCGCCGGCCTGACCTTGGCCGTGGCTCAAGGGCAAACTGCGCGGTCGGCTGGCGCGCGGCCGCCGCGCCGGGCCGCCATCCGGAACAAAGTGAAACTCGCCGCCCAACTGACGGAGCCACGGACACGGTGGGTCTCGTCAGACCGAGACGGATACCTGGAGCCAACAGCACGTGACAGGAAAACACGACACAAATATTGTGTTGTGTTCAAAACACAATTCAGCTGTTCATTGAAGTTTCGCTTCACAGTTGTACGGCACGCAATGCAGACGCGTATTTGAGGCATACGAGTCATCTTTTGAGCCAATATTCTGGATCGCTTCAGCAGCCATGGTCAATGACCAGGAATATATAAGCAGGGCAAATTCGCAATACAAGCTTATTACAATGCTGAGCGAATGGGAAGCCCTGTTCGTAACGCGTGTTTACTTACAAACGTATCCCCGGTACAAAAAAAAACAAAAAAAAAATATGCGTGCCCCGAGGGGGCGGCTGCATTCAGTGTATCTGTTTACACTGAACTGCACGAGACGATTTTATATGAAAAATAATGCATTTGTGCAAATGCACAAGAAAAACAAAGCGCTATAAAATCAGACGCAGAACTTTAAAACTAATGCATACCTATTCAAAGGCGTCTCACACCGGACTGAAAACACGCATTTGCTTTGACCCAGCTTCATGCAGGCCCACTGTTTTAAAATAGCTTCATGTGACAACCAGCTCAGGTCATATGCAATAGGCATATCTACATCATCACTCATTACCGATAGCCCTGAGGGCCCAGCCGTTTAGAAGGGGGCGGGCATGGATGAGATAACACGGGCGGCCAACCGTCAAAATTTGGAGCTCGATTTCGAATGTTTCTTGTTTTTCAAGAGCTGCTATTGGCGTTACACTAAAGCCCTTTGGGCGAGCCATCGCCTTGCGGCAGGCAGGGTGCACATGACTACGATTCTCACCTTGATATGATAGGAGTTGATTTTGTGTTTCGGTAGAATGTTGAAGGAACTGAAGTCCGTCCTGCGGGCGAAAATTCCATTGCCTCCAGAATTGTGCCTGTGGAAGAAAGCATGTTATAGAATACGTTTTTTCAGCGATCGTATGTTAATGTACTTTAGGTTAACAAACACGCAAAAGATAAGCCAAAGATCTTTGCTTTGATAGGTAATACTTAATATATTAGGGCTGGTGAGCGCATTTAAAAGAATGAGAAACACGAATGACAACAGTGAATGATAAAACTCTGGAAAACGTTAAAAATGAGGAGTCGGTCGTACACAAGAGATGGGTGGCTAAAACCATGACAATGACACTCTTACCTAAGGCGTTCCGTTAAGAACTCGTTCTTTGGGTTGGACCGTTTTCGCACAGACTGGTAGTGCTGAGGGCTGTGAGGAGACTCGCAGCCCGAGGACGGGGGAGATGATCCCGTCGACCCCAGGCTGTTCGCGCGTGACCTGCCGTGACAGCCGATGGCCGGCGTCTGAATGGTGAGGGTCAGCACGGGCTTCGTGCTCTTGTTATGCTTCTTCCTCCTCTTGGTGTTGTCCTCGTCATTTGTCTTCGAAGAGTTGGTCCAGTCGAGATCTTTCTTCAAATGCCCCCTGCCACAACGACACCCACAAGCCTTGAAAGCCAGATCATACCCTTTTTTAGTCCACAAGTTTTGGTGCCGTTGCTTCTCAGACCACGACCTAGCGCGTCCACAGGATTTGAGGTATGTCAGCACACCATCTTCCCAGTTGTCAAAACACTGCCGGTGCATGTAGCCCGAAAAGGGACATTGTTCGTTGTTACAGAGCACCTTGCTGACCCCATCCTTGTCTTGAGGGTTCAAGACAACATCAGGAGCCAGACAGCCGTTCGGCACACTGCAAAGTACCGATTCGTAGTTTTGGTTTTCAATGGCGGCTGGGTCCAGTCTCTGTTGACCAGCAACCACTGGGGCTTGGTGGCGACGATTATGCGGCATCTTCGCTCTCACACAATCAATCACACTTCACAGCCAAAGTTCCACCAGTCTCCACTTCTTTCTTCACATTTCGAGACCGTTCACACCCCTTCGCCTCCTACATCCGACTAGCGCCCTCGCCGGCCGGCTCCGCTGTTTTGATTCAGCTGCGGCGCTGTCTGGCGCGAGCTGCCATGCGCGACTCGACGTAACAGCGTTACCGCCACCGGATTGGCTGGCGCCAGACCACGTGAGACTTGCCCTTGAACGTTCCTCCGCTGTTTTACGGCAAGCTAAATGAATTTACTACTAGAGGGGTGGGGCCCATCCGCTTCGGGGGGCGGGTAAGATGCACTGAGGATGATATGCGGGCAGGTCTAAGCCCGATTTGCCGGACGGGGGCGGAAAGGCAAAGCTTTGAGCGGTAGCTCTCTCGCCCGCTATCGATCGCGGTGGCCGGTCGGAGCCGCCGCGGAGCCACGTGGTCGGCCCGTCGCCGGCGAACAAAGAAACCGTCTTCTCCCCTCGTCACCTGCAGTCTGCAAGTGACGAAACCTCGGCCATTTTTCTTGTGTTGCAATTGCTCTGGGGTCTTATTTTTGAAACAGCGAAGCGACCAGGTGTATGGTGGTATATGCTCTCAAAAAGGGCAGGAAGCCATTTGGACTGCCTTCTGCTGGCGGCCCGGTGTCGGCTTCGTAAAGAATAATTACTTATTTCTAATATCCATACATGGTATCGGACCAGCATTTACGTAGCGAAGATCTAGATCATGCCCAAGCAATTAAGGATCTAAAACAATTTTAATAATTTCAAAACTTGAACGTTCCCAAACAAAAGGCGTATTATATCGTTCATTGAGTTCCAACACGAAGAACGCGCTACTGCACCCCTTTCTTTGCTTTAGGTACCGTCTATGAGCATTTGCACTGAAATAATTGAGCCATAAAAACATTCCGTGGTAATCGACCCCACCCGGTACAACCTAGCCCACATTTTAGAAATGAGAATCGCGCATCGTAGTACTGCTTTACCGCCGAGCGACATGTTCGTTAGGTTTTCATTTTGTTATATTCCTAATTTTTTTTTCGTTCCGTATAAGAATTGCCAATACAGCCTAAGGGCTACGCACATGAGGATCGAGACGACATGCAAAAGTAGGTAAACACATGACACCAACATCTTTTCGTATCTCTTGACACATGGCTAACCTGACCTCACCAGGTCATGCTAAATGGCGGCCAGTGGCGGCGGAATAAGGGGTGCAGGGGGTGCAGCTGCACCCCCATCGAAAAACATGGGGGTGCAAACATTTTTTTGCACCCCCAAAATCTGTACAAGGGGCCCGTCGCACCATCCAATACATTTTCTCCCGAAAACCAGTGATCGGGGAACGAACACTGATGTGGAATCATCCGGGATGTCCAATTATGGTCAGGAGCGTCCAATGCTAGTCTTTGGGGCCCCCACACCGGCTAGAAGTGTCCCGAGCCGCGTTTGGTGCTCCATGCGGCATCTGAGGGCCCGCACGACGGCCTCAGAGGGCCCTTTTATGACGATCTCTGAGGGCTCCCACGACGACCTCTGTCCCCTGAGGCCCTACAACGGCCACTAAGGGCCCTCATGACGACCGCTGAGGGTCCCACAGATACTCCAGGGCCTCAAGGAGACTCCAGGGGCCACACTAGCCTCTGAGGGCCCCTATGACGGCCTCTGAGGGCCCTTACGATGATCTCTGAGGGCTCTCATGACGACCTATGTCCCTTGGGGCCCTATAACGACCACTAAGGGCCCTCATGACGACCGCTGAGGGTCCCACAGGACTCCAGGGGCCCCGCTGGCCTCTACGACGGTCTCTGAGGGCCATCGTGACGGCCCTAGACCCAACTCAAGTCTGAGGGCCCATTTTGCTTCAGACAGCCCAGCGACGGCCTTTGGGGGCCCCAACACAACCAGGCTGCAGGGGCTATGCTGGCATCTGAGGGCCCTGCAACGGTCTATTGAGGGCCCTAACGATGGCCTCTAGCGGTCTTACCAAGGCCTCTGAGAGCCCTGCAAAGGTATCTGAGGGCCCATGAAGACCCTCACTATGGCCAAGGACCCTCCTGACGACCTCTGATGATCCTTCCGAAGGCTTCTAAGGGCCATCACAACAACTTCTGAGGACCCCAGGACGGTCCATGAGGGGCTGAGGGCCCTGACGACGACCTTCCTGGGCCCTCATGATGGTCTCTAAGACCCAACGCAAGCTCCAAAGGCCCACGCTGGCGTCTGAGGGCCCCACGACGGCCTCTGAGCGTCTCGACGCAGGCAGGCTCCAGGGGCCATGCTGACCTCTGAGGGCCCTCTTGACGGCTTCTAGGGCCTAACGAAGGCTTCAAGGGCCAACGCTGGCCTCTGAAGAACCCTACGACAGCCTCGGAGGGTCTCAACTCAACGCAGGCAGGTGCCAGGAGACATGCTGGCCTCTGAGGGTCCCGCAGAGTTCAGATTCAGAGGACCCAACGACCTTTGTGGACCTTACGAAGTAAAGTACGAAGGTCTCCGAGAGCTCACGCAGGCTCCTGGAATTCCACACTGATTCTCAGGCCCCATTTCGGCTTGTTGAGGCACTTTATCTGCTCTTGGTGCCCCGTTGCCGGCCTCTGAGAGTCTCAATGTCGGAACTTATTGGGCCATGGGCCCTACACCGGCTTTTATGGCCCCTACATCGACTCTTGGGACTCATGACCCATGAAATGTGGATCTAAGCGGCTTCTAAGAATCCCCATGCTAGTTCTGGTAGCCGCCAGCCGAATATTTGGACTCACACGCGAGCTCCTGGGACCCCTTGCATACCCCAGGGGTCTACCTGCCTCTAAGATCCCACACATGCTTTTTGGGCTCAAACGCTTGCCCCTGAAGGCCCCACTGAGACCCCTTTCCTCTATTCAGTCCTCCATACCGGCTCTTTATGGATAAACATCGGCTCCTGTGGCCTCCATTCCGGCTTTGGAGGGCCTCCATACAGGCTTTTGGGGGGTCCGATGCTGGTTTCTGACAGCCCCCAAAAGACGTTCGAGCCTATACTGCCTTCTGAAACCTTTCAGCAACTTTCAAGGGACCGACCCTGATCGGAGGGCTCATTCAGTCTGGGAAGTCATGTAAGTCTGAAGCCTGTTTAGGCTGTCCCGTAGCTCAGTTGGTAGAGCATTGGACTCCCGGTAGTGAGAGCCCGGGTTCGAGACTCTCCGGCGCTCGATATTTGAGAATCCTGACGGGGATTGTCTGCGGTTGGTGGGAGCAGCCGCAGCCAGTTGAAGTCAGTTGAGTGGGACAGGTCGTGTCCGGCTTTGAAGGGCACGTTAAACTTTGGCATCTAAATTCTCCCGTTACCCGGAATTGCGCGATCGGACGGTAGGGGTCGGGGTCTACGCAACAAGCTCTGCTTAGCGTGGGCTCCGGCTCTGTCAATCCGTCCATTCAAACATTCGAGCTAAATTTATAAAAAAAAAGTCTGGAGGAGTATCTATGTGGTCGGTTTCCAAGGGGCTTCTAAACACGGTCTTCTTGGAACGGTCTCGTAAGGCCCTCAATGGTCCACTGCGGATCCAGAAAAGTGGTTTGAGACGCTGCGGGTGGTGACTAGACTAAAATATTAGCCGATAAAAAACTAGCTGCATTCGCTTCTTTATGCTTTCATTATTTGAGATAGGTAGGTGCACTGCAATTTCAAACCTTTTACAGAACTTGTGTGTATGGGGATAGTTTTCCAAAATCTTCGTTTTTCATAAATCAATAATAATCACTCAAAAAAAAAATTAAGGGGGCCCACAACTTCCAGAGGGGCCCCTTGATAAAACTTTGCACTCCCATCCAGAATTACCTTCCGCCGCCACTGAAATGGCCTGCCTTTAGCCCAATTAAAAAGTAAAACTTAGACCTGTCGCTGCCCTAAAACACACTAAATGACTGCTACTCACAGAACGTTTCATTAAAACTTCCAGTGGATGGTGCTGGACAACGTGTTCCATGAAAGGCTGTATAAATGTGTATAAACCGTCAGATCCAGGGGGAGGTATTTAGGACAAATGCCCCTTCGTGCGGCGCTCGAAATCGACGAAAATTTACGTTTTTTTCGAGAATAAAAAGAAAGCAAAATATTTTATTAGTAACAGATTGTTTTACACTGCACAGCAGAACGTAACAACGAATTGAAATCCGAAGAGTTTTGGAAATTTGATAAATTTTTTTTTGGAGGTATGACCCCCGAAGCCTTCCATGGGATCCGCGAATGTTTGTATGCGTACCGGTAAGCTAAAGTCAAGGCATTTTTTTCTATCATACATAGGTACCTAGGCATGTATGATAAATGAGAAAAAGGAGACTGCTTCCTTATTGCATAAGAGGGATAGACTGCGACACACACATAATTTAATGGTTTCTTTGAGTATATAATTGGATAAAAGCATGATAAGTAAGTTGGATAAAATTAACATTACTGATGATAATTGGATATGGGCAAATAAGAATAAGTAGGTATCCCATGACCTCACATTAGGTATCTTACCCACGACCTGGTGGTGGGGGGGGGGGCTATTTTTTGGTTCCCTTCAGACTTCTCAATATATCTCCAGAACCGCTGCGCCGATCGTCACCAAACTCAGTACTCTCCCGGGCAACAATTCTACACATTGTGACCAAAATTTTCCACAGGCTATGATGAGGTGGCTGCAAGTGACGTCAGAGTGACGTCATGTTCTGCCGTTTTCGACCCAAAAAAGGTTGCCCAAAAAGGACAAAAAAGAGCTGTCAGGCCTATAGCTTTGAAGATACAGAAAAATGTCTAGGACATAAAAGGTGTAGAATTACCAGGGCTACTAAACTGCTGTCACGAAATTTTGAAATTCTCGGTTTTGACCCCCCCCCAAAAAAAAAAAAACAAAAAAAATTAACTTAATAGCAAAAATCCAAAAACTTTTCGCCTTACCCACGGAGAAAACGGCATATATTGTCATAGCCTCTACCGACGTCTATTCACATACTAAATTTTAGATCGATACCTCTTTTTTGGCCAAGTTATACCGAGAAAAAAATGTTCAAAATTGACGACGTCAAATATTAAAACTCTATTTTAGCAATTCTAGACCACGTAGCGCAAAACAAGGACCACCATTAGACTCGCCGTGACGAGCTGCATCGAATTAATTCCATTTTATGC